CAAACAGATGGTCAGTCAGAAAGAACTATTCAGACTCTGGAAGACATGTTACGAGCTTGTGTACTACAGTTCAAAGGGAATTGAGACACTCATCTTTCTTTGATGGGGTTTGCTTATAATAATAGTTATCATTCGAGTATAGAAATGGCTCCTTTTGAAGCACTGTATGGTAGGAAATGCAGAACTCCAGTATGTTGGGATGAAGTTGGTGAAAGAAAGTTATTGGGTCCTGAATATATCTAAATTACTGCGGAGAAAGTAAAGATAATTAAAGAAAAGTTAAAGACAGCCCAAGATAGACAGAAGAACTATGCAGATAGACGCAGAACAAACCTTGAATTTGATGTTGGAGATAGAGTTTTCCTGCGATTGTCTCCATGGAAAGGTGTTATCAGATTTGGTAAACGAGGTAAATTGAGTCCGAGGTATATTGGCCCATATGAGATTGTTGAACGCATCAGCCCAGTTGCGTATCGATTGGCTTTGCCAACAGAATTTTCCAGAATTCATGATGTATTCCATGTTTCTATGCTTCGTAAGTATATTCCAGATCCATCTCATGTTTTGGAATCACAACCAGTAGAACTGAAGGAAAATCTTACCTATGAAGAAAAACCAGTTCAAATATTAGATAGGAAGGAACAGATTTTGCGTAGTAAGACTATTCCATTGGTTAAAGTCTTGTGGAGGAATCATGCTATAGAAGAAGCGACATGGAAAAGTGATTTTGGTTAAAAAAAAAAAAAAAAAAGAAAAGAAAAGGAAAAAAAGAAAGAAAAAAAAATTTGAAAGAAAAAAAAATTGAAAAAAAAATAAAAAAAGAAAAAGAAAAAAAGAGTGGATTGTTGTTGGGAATTGAAAGGTTAAGGAATGCGTTGTAATACTCTAGTCAATTCTAAAAGAAAAGTCAAACTTAAAAAAAAAAACAAAAGACAAAAAAAAAAGTGGCAGGCGGTGGAAATTAATACAAATCCAAACCAAATTCATAACACACACAAAAGAACGGACCAGAGAAGAAAAAGAGAGGAAAAAGAAAAAAAAAAGAAAAAGAGGAAGAAAAAGAAGAAGAAAAAAAGGGAAAAATTTGTCAATGTGTAAGGAATTAAGTGTCCTATCCTATTAGTCTTGAATTTCTCAATTTTGAAAGGTAAGTAAAAAGTTACTTATTGTTAAGTTATGTTTGATTTTGTAGTTGTTAGATTGTTAGGTTAAATTTAATTTTATTGAAGGGGTTAAGAGTAATAAACTATGAAATTGAATAAAATGAAAGAAAAATTAATTTTAGTAATTAAAGAGACGTTAAAAATCGCCTAAACGTGAAATAATTATGTTTAGGTATCGCCTATTTAATTACTGAAATTAGTTAATTGTTGATTTAAAAATTATATTATATTTCAGACGGCGATACGGATATCAGGACAGCGTATCAATCGAATTGATTTTGGCATACATAGTTCTGTAAGTGGAAAAATATAAATATTTTTAAAGTATTTATAAATTAAGTTTATTGTTAAAGCATGTGCAATTATATGCAATTATGTGTTCGAACTACATGGTTTTTATGGAAATATCTTTTATTATGATACATGTGGAATTTCAAAGATTGTATACGTTACATTGTAAATTGGAATATGAGATATGATTTTGAGATCGACCAGAAAAGTACCCGTGATTATATATTTCTTCTAGTTCACTGAGAGGCATTGGCTGTGTTCTATACTACACTGAGGGGTCATGGACCGGGGATGAAGGGGTCGCGACCGTGTACATATAGTTCACTGAGGGGCCTTGGCCGTGTTCTAAAATTGTTTTTGAGAGGTCTTTGAGACCGAATTTCATTCACAGAGGGGCCAAAGGCCCGTGGCGAAAGTTCTTAGCCCGAGAGGCGGATTACATATTTCAATCAGAGGGTATATTTTTGGTGGATTTTTCAGCACGTTTGATGTGATGAGATTATAACATTTTTATCAACTGATGTTTTATCATGATTTTGAGATGATATTTTACGACCTTATATGAATATTTCACTTTTGGTTATAATTACATGATGTTAGCTTGTGAATTATCAAATTGTTTGAATTTGATTTCCAATAAAAATGTATAAATGAAAAGGTATATTTATTGTGAACTTCTCCACTCACTGAGCTATCAACTCCTATATTTTTCCACGTTTTTCCTTATCAGGCAGCAGTTGAGAATCTGGGCATCTTTTGGAGTTGAGCCTTGATTTTGGAGTTAGAGCCACACGACAGAGTTTGTTAGTATGACTCACTTCATAGAACATGTAGTCAGTGTTTTGGGACGCATGTTCATGTTTAAATGTGATTTTGCATCACTTGTAGTTAGTTGTGGGGCTCACTATGTATTATGTATCCATATGTATATTTCATTGTATTTCTTGATAAAAGTGGAGATTTCGGCTTATCCTTATTGTGCTATGCTATAGTTTGGGATTTGTGTGAAATTGATCACAGGTTGGTTAGTCCTGTTTACAGGGGAGATAATGCCGAAATTTTGTTAGAAAAATAATGTGTAAAAAGTGATATATTGTATTTGTAGTAGCCTTGATGGTGGGTCCGACTTTTAGTTGGTATCTACCATCGGCGCATGCCACGTCCGGATCTCGTGGTGTTATACGGGGCGGGGTGTGTCAGTTTGGTATCAGAGCATGCATTAGAGTTCATGGGTTTGCATTGTACATGCATACATTCTGATGTTTGGCATATCATGCATAACTGTAGGTGAGTCATGCCTCGTGGTGGCAAAACTCGAAGGCTCCAAGATATGTTGCCCCAGTCTCAAATTGCTCCTGATAGAGATGAATTGAGAGAGCCCGAGAGAGTAGATGAATCAGTTCACCAGCCTCCTGAACAACGAGGACAGGGAAATGTGATTGGAAATGATCTTTAAGAAATTAGCTCTATGGGAAAGCAAGCTTAAAGGCCCATTTGGAGAAGATTGACCGTATGCTTGAAGGCAAGAAAAAATTTTGTAGAGTTGCTCCATCTATTCGGAATTGAATGCACTGCTCGAAGTGGGGTTTTTAGTTTGCTGGTCCACTGAAGCTTGGTATCCTCAGTTTCTATTATTTTGTCTTAGTTTCCAATCTACCGATTTTCCATGTAAATCCCAACAGATGTCTTCTTTGTGTCCTAGCTTACGGCAATGTTTACACCAGGGTCGTCCCTTTTGTTGTCTTGGATTTGACCCATTCAGTCCTCCTTTTGAATATAAGCCGAAAATGTTCAGCTGGTCCATTTCAAATTTCCATCCGACCCACCATTAAAAAATCCAGTAGGTCCAATTTTAGAGGAAAAGCCCATGTTTTTTGGCCCAAATTCACTGCCTTTATACGGTAGTGGCCCAAACTTGTAAGGCCCAGTACCTTCTAACATCAAGGCCGACATTTCCAATTCAGCATGCCCATTTTTTCCTTTGGTCAACATCACACTTCGCCGATTCTCCTCACGACAAACCTCCAAAAAGACTTCACGCATCAACAGTGATACGCGACGGCCAAGGATTCTTCCTCTAACATCATCTAGCTCATGTTAAGTCCAACAAGGAATTCATAGACTCGCTCGCTCTCCAATTTTTTCTAGTAAAGCAAACAATCAGCCGAGCATGCCTATTCTTCTTCCGTGCTCAAATCCAATTCCTGCCACAAAGCCACCATCTCCATGTAATAATCAATTACTTCCCTATCTCCCTGCTTGTTTTGATAAAGTCTGGTTTTGATTTCTAAAATTTGGGAGGCATTCTCTGAATCAAAGTATGTGTCTCTAACTGCATCTCAAGCATCTTATGCGGTTGGCAAAAATTAAAGAATTTTATGAGTTCACAATAGAGAGCCATGCAGTCACCAAGGAATTTTATAAGTTCCACCTTTGCAAGCAGGCAACCTCGGTTGAGACTCGCTTCTTCACGTCTCCAGTCAAGTATTCCAATTTTCCTTTCCCGTCGATTACTAGTTTGACGGATTGGGTCCATTCTCTGAAAAATTTTCCATTTAATTTTTCTATCGTGAGTTGGAAGGATGAATTATCGACTCCTCCCAAACCCACGAAGGGGATGGTCTCTATTTCACCATCGTGTGACTCGGAGGTCATTGACCCCTTATTGGTGTCGACATTTTCTACCATTAGGTTGAGACTAGACTTGGCTCTAATACAATGAAAGTTTAGAGACTTGAAAATAGAGGGAATTTTTATATATTCTCATTGTGAATAGTACAACCAAGTGTCATATTTAATAGTACACAAGAAGGGTTAAAATAAGGAAAAAGCATTCCTAAATCCTAAATTTGCCTAATAATCTCCGAGAGTCATTCCTAATTACAATAATTACAATTTCCCTAAATACAACTGTTAATTATGGCAAATAAGATATTGTCATATCTTTGGGATTTCAACAAAACCCATTCATTCAACTGGCACTACTGGCTAATCCAATGGGGATATTAGCAAGGCTACATGCAAATTATAGAATTTATCAGTCCAATTCCAATGGAGAAATAACTGTAGATATAACAAATGGAGAATTTAAAAATGAATAATCGAAACCTGCTGAACCAAAGCCACAGTAGGAGCAAGGAAAATGAAGATGTTTTTCTGGGGTTTCTTTATCAAGTGACTCATCTCGTACATAAGCAAAACTGCAATATGTGTTTTCCCACAACCTGTTCCCAAATATACAATGACGTTCTCCTCCAATGCTTTTTTACAGAGGTCCATCTGATACCTTCAAAAAATAAATAAATAAATCGAGTGAGAGGTAATTAGGAATGCAGTTAATAAGATGAACATGAAACACACTTCACATGTGCCTTGTTTTCTAAGAACCAATGACAAGACCTCAAATTCAGCAAGATACCTCACAATTCGTCCCTGCTATAAAAGTTAACTAAAGACTTCCAAAACAGTATTAGCATCTTAGAATACTCTTTACATTTAATAACTTTGAATGCAGATTACTAACAGAATAATTTGAATTTATAAACAGAATCGACCTTATATGTCAATTCATTCTAGCTTGTACATCCAGTTGTTGGAAAAACAAAAAAGTTTGTTGCGCTTAATCTTGCGTTATTCTTCGGGATTAATATGGTGTTTCTTGGGCATACATTGACAGTAAACGCATTAATTGAGTAAGCTGTGAACAACACTTCTTACATTTTGTTTCCCACTATTAAAATGGAAAGAACAAGACTCCCCAATTAACTTAAAGCGTAGCAAAGAAAAATGTCTTTCAATCTCCTTCAAATTTAAATTTTCTTCTTGAAAATATCTATTGAGTGCAGTACAAACTTTCAGATTAGGCAAGCAAAGTAACTGAGAGAAACTTAAAAAGGAAGAAAGAAAAGTGCTTTTTAATTACTTCTGGCAATGTCCTAAGAAGCCGAGCAAAATAATTTTCTTAATCAAAGAGATCAACACAAAACAACGGCAATCGAACTGCCCACCATTTCTAAAATCTAATTCACATTGTTTTCTTTTCTTTATATTTCACTTCTTCAGCATTCCATCAATATGCTTTGTTTAATTACTTCAGAGTACACAAATCCAATTCAGTAGGCATCAAAAGACCTATTTTTCTTTTCAGTTTTTTATGTGATTTAACCCTTAACATCCTTGTCAGAGAAAACCTCATTAGTTGTTGTTCTTCCCATTTCCTTAACATCGTAAAAGAAAATTCAGATTCTTTTTCGAAAGTAGAAAATTCCAACACAGTTTTCATTTTAGGCAGAATTCAGAAAAGGGGGCCTGATCTTCGAACATCAATGTTGTATCACGTGCTCCGTCGATTGAACCACACCGAAGCATTTCATTCTTCTCTTATTTCCTCCTTTTATTAAAGAAAATCTTCTAATTTACACAACATGAACCGGAAAAAAAATTCAAAAAGAAAAAAAAAGGACAAAGATACGCCTTCATACAAACAAACGAAAATGGAAAATGGCATAGCAAATCAAGCAGCGTGAATAAATTTAAAAATGTACAAAAATTAAAAAAGAAGAGAAAAATGATTATACTTTCTAGCTTTTATTCTGGGATCCTTCACTTGTCTGTGAACTTCCCCACTAAGAGACAAAGTTGAGAGGCGCTCAGAAATCCCATTTTCTATCGACTCGCTTGACTGTGCAGTAAAGGCAGCGCCATTGTCCATGGCGGTTTCCGGAGGTGATCGGCGTTGGAGAGTGAATTGACTTGTCTTGACTCAACAGTTTCTGCGACAGAACTTTGCGTAAGAAGTGGGTCTTTAGGGCCTTTAAGGTGCGTGCACAGAAAAAGTAATGTTAACTTTGTCGGAGATTCATGCCATGGTGTTTGATTGCTATTTTTAAGTATAAATGTATTTTAAAATTATAAATTGATGTGAAATATGTGATTGAAAAATAAGGAAAAAATTTTGATTTATGTATGATATTATTTTAATAAAAAATTTGTGATTAAAAAAAAAAGAAAATTATATTTTAGAAAAAATGACTACCAAACGAATCCTATGCGACAGTAGTAATATTGCGAAGAATAATTTAATAAATCATTGGTCTATATTACACATCAATAATTATTATGTATAATTATTCATGCATTTTACCAAACTCACTGTCTCATTCATTTTTTATAGAATTTTGTTATTTGTACACGGACAGTTGACACGCCCCATGTACATTATTCTCACATGAGGAGGCTCACGCAAGCCTTTTTCATAAATCATTTAGACTTAAATCATTAATGACAATGATTTTAACCTAAATATATTTTGATAATATTGAAATGTTGGAGAACTAAAGTGAAATGATATTAAACTCAATCTTATTTTGATCATATAATTAGATTTTGATAGAATGAGTGTAAGTATATCAATATTGGACTTATTGTGTAGATTATAATTAAGGGAAAAATTCATAATTAAAACGATAAGTATCACTCATTTCAAAACTAAAAACAAAGATTTCTAATTTCAAAAATCGGATATTTATTAAAATTATTTTTTATTTAATTAATTAATTATGTTAAGGTCACATATCTATATAACTTGGTCACAAATTAACGATTTAGTTAATCACTTTTTGTTGTGATAAATCAAAATTTTTATATATCACATTTTATTTTACGGTCACAATTCAAAAATTTTATATATAGCAATTTGTTCATCGGCCACAAATCAAAAATTTATATGTCACAAATGTAGGAAGAAATTATTTTTTCATACATTGATTGAATAATATACAGCCTTATTTATAGTACAAACATGAGTAAGGAGAGAAGGAAATAAATCTACTAAATTAGGAAATGATAAAATATTCTTAATTAGTATAGCTAACTAAGGTGAGAATTAAATATGGTACGAAGAAAAATCAATTACGATATTACTCTTGATTTCCTACACTTCCCCTCAAATTGGATGGTGAATGTTGACAATTTTCAATTTGCAGATGAAATCGTCAAAACTTTGTCGAGATAGTCCTTTGGTGAAAATGTCTATAGTTTGTTATCTCGTAGGAACATGGTCAACAAATAACTTCGAGATCAACCTTTTTCTTTGATAAAGTGTCTATCCACTTCTATATATTTAGTCTGATCTTGTTGAACAGGATTAAGAGAATTGTTTATGGTTGCTTTGTTATCACAATAGAGTTTAATTGGAAGGATTGTTATGATTTGTAATTCTTCCATGAGGTTTTTAACCACAATTCTTCGCATATTTCTTGTGTCACTGTTCTAAACTCAACATTTGCACTGCTTCTTACCACTACATTTTACTTTTTACTCCGCCATGTCACTAAATTTTTCCATATAAAGGTACAATAACTAGTAGTTGATCTTTCATCATCTGCTGAACCTGCCAAATCTGTATTTGTAAAGACTTCTACTTTCCTATTTTCATTATTCTTAAAGAATAATTCTTTTCTAAGTGTTCCTTTAAGTTATATGAGAATTTTGTATACTGCTTTCATATGACTTTGTTTTGGAGAATGTATATGTTGGCTTACCATACTTACTGCAAAAATGATGTCAGGTCTAGTGTGAGACACGTAGATCAATTTCCTTACTAGTCTTTGATAACTATCTGTCTGAAATAGATCTCCAATATTTTCATTTTTCCTTACCAAATCAATAAGTGTGTCATCTGGTTTACATCCAAGCATGCTTATTTCTGTTAGAAGATCATGATTATACTTTCTTTACGAAACACTGATACCCCTTTTTGATCTTGTGACTTCCATCCCTAAGAAGTACCACGTGTGTTCAAGAACTTTCACTTCAAATTCGATTACCAGGCTTTTCTTAAATCTCTCTATCTCATTTATATTGTTTCCAATTAGGATTATATCATCTACATATATGATCAAGATTTTTTTTTCCATTTTCTGACTGTTGGTAATACATTGTGTGATCTGATTGTCCTTGTTGATAACCTTGACCTTTTAACACTCTTGCAAATCTATCAAACCATGCCATAGGTGACTGTTTGAGGTCATACAATGATTTCTTGAGTTTGCAAACCCGATTCTCCTCGTCCTTTTTACAAAATACTAGTGGTAGGGTCATAAAGACTTTTTCTTCTAATTTCTCATTAAGGAATGCATTTTTAATGTCCAGATGTTGCAGATGTCAATCCAAGTTAGCTACTAAGAAAATGAGAACCCTGATTGTATTTAACTTGGCTACTAGTGCAAATGTCTTTGTGTAGTCAACACCATAGGTTTGTGTGTATTCTTTTGCAACAAGACAAGCTTTATATCATTCTATTATTCCATCAGCTTTATACTTCATATTGAAGACCCATTGCATCCTACGAGTTTATTTCTTCTCGGTAGATCCACCACCTTCCAAGTCTCATTTTTTTTTTCCAATGCTCGCGTTTCTTCCATTGCTAATTCCCTCCGTTTGAGAATTGTCAAAGCCTCTTGTACACACTTTGGAATTTTAGTTCTGTCAAGATTGGATGTAAAAGTACAAAACCTTGTAGATAGATTGTTATAAGATATGAATTTTGAGATAGGGTGGAGAGTGCATGATCGGTGTTGTTTTCTAAGTGCAATAGGTAGATTGATATCTGGAGATTCTGACTCATGGGAATCTAGAACTATCATCGGTTCCGATTTTCTTGGTGCTGCAAGTGTGAGATTTTCCTTATAATTTGGTTTTGGTTTTCTTAAGTATACTAACATTTCCTGTCATTTTCTTCTCCTATGTCTCCCACTGAGTTCAAATGCTCCTCTATATATATGGTATATTAGACTTTGGGAATGATATTTCATTTAAAAAAACCTATCTTCATCAGAGTTCTCCCCCTGAAAAGAGGTGTTTTTAAAGTAAGGCGTCTTTTCAAAAATGTGATGTTAAGGGTAACAAAAGTTTTCTTTGTTGATGGATCATAGCATTTGTATCCTTTTTGATTAAGTGAGTATCCGATGAAAACACACTTAATAGCACGAGAATCAAGTTTTTTATGATTATGGGAGTGGACATGAGTAAAGGCAGTACAACCGAACACCTTGAGAGATATGTTCGGGTTTAGACTTGAATTGGGAAATGAATCTTGAAGTTCTTGAATAGGTGAATTGAAGGACAGAGTACGACTTGGCATGCGTTTGATAAGATAAGTTGAAGTCAAGATAGCATCTACCCAAAAAAATTTTGGCATATATAAGGTGAACATTAAGGTTCGGGCAACCTCGAGTATATGTCTATTTTTTCGCTCGGCAATCCCATTTTGTTTGTGGAGTGTCGATGCATGAACTCTGGTGGATGATTCAATATTTTTGTAGATGATCTTGTAGAGTGGCATTGAAGTATTCGGTACCATTATCAATGTGTAGAATTTGAATTTATGTTTGGAATTGTGTTTGTATCATTTGGTGAAAATTAATGAATGTGGAAAAACATCGATTTTCTCTTATGAACGTGACAAATCATTTTGTGTGAGTACGATTAGGAATGCGTGATGGTACGGTGGTGTTTTGCGAACTTACATATTTCACATTGAAAGTCAATAGGTGTTCTATTCGAGAAAATAGAAGGAAAAACATGTCGTAAATATTGTAAGTTCGGGTGGCCCATTCTATAATGTTGCAACATAGTATCATTATCTCTAGAGACAAACTTAGAATTACAAAATTTAGTTGGACGTTGTTTACTCACATAGGCGTCTTCGAATTAATAGAGTCCCTCACACTCTTTAGCACCGTCAATCATCTTCCCCGATGACAGATCTTGAAATATATAGTGAGATTGAGTGAAATTACCATAGCAATTTGAGCCTTTTGTTTACTGACTGACAGATAATAATTGCATGATGAAATTGGGACATGAAGGACATATTTTAGTGTTATAGACTCGAAAATTTGAATACTCCCTTTTCCCACAACAGGTGAAAGTGATCCATCAGCAATTTTCAACTTAATATTACCAGCATAGGGTGAGTATGTATTGAACAAATGGTAGGCATCTGTCATGTGATCAGAGGCACCTGAGTCAATGATCCAAGGGATTTTATATCTTGAGAAAATATTTAAAGCTTTTAGGAAACTACCTTTGTGGGCTAACGAACTTGAAGGATCATGTATGGGTGATTGACTCGATATTTAAAGGCTCGAAAATATTTGATAGAGTTACTCTAGCTGCTCATAATTGAATGTTCCATTTTTCACCTCCTTGGATTTTTCAATTTGGTCAACCAATGCCTGATAGCTATGATTTTTAATGTTCTATCTTGATTTCCAATCGCTAGGCTTTGCATGTATATCCCAACATGTGTCTTCCCTATGTCCTGGCTTTCGGCAATGCTTACACCAGAGACCTTTTTGTTGCTTTTGACTTGGCTCATTTCCAATTTTTGAGAATAATATTGTAATTTCTGGTTCAATTTCAAGAAGCCCATATTTTGAGGACCCGACAGGCCCAATATTTGAAAACCCAGACCCGATTTTTTTAATAGCCCGCTATTCCTTGTGTTTGTGCAAAAATTTGAAAGCCCAATTCTAGGAGATGAATAAGGCCTTGTTTCTTTTTCTCTTCGACGTCCAACTCCCTTTGACAGAAGCGAGATATCAATTTCTCCGATCGTCCCCACTGTCATCATAACTTTTCGACGATTCTCCTCTTTTCCCACCTCCGTGAACACTTCCCTAGTTGAAGGTAACGGTCGCTATCCTAGCATTCGATCTCTAATGTCATCCAATTCTCAATCAAGGTCGGCAAGAAACTCATAGACTCGTTCATTCTCAAGTTTTTTCTTATACTTTACGTTTTCTTCGGTGCATTTCCACTCTTCTTCGCAACTAAGA